TACACATGCGTATAGTGACGTCGTTGTTACTTTCTACGCATTTCGGTCTTTCAAAAGCAAAATCGTGTCCATTTTTAGTGAGTTCCCATGGTTGACACGAACTTGATCTGTAATAACCACTGCTGCAACATGTTGTCGATGTAAAATGCAATAATTTCCGAAGGTTCGCTTATAAAGCCTGCCATGTGGCTTCATCGGGCGAAAGGGGTGAGTGTTGGGGTGCAAGAAGCTCTGTGCAATTACATTGTTTAAACCTCTAATGGTCGATATTAATCTGTGGCTTGTCATTTTTGATCAGAAATCACCTTAGTGGGTGGGTTGGAGCTTGTTGTAGTTATTATGAGGGTGTAAAATGTTGATATAGATAAAACGTCACATTAAATGATCTACACTCAGGGAACCAAAAGAAGTCAGCAGGATTTATCGATGTGTAAGAAGTTCAAGATCAGTACCATGTGACAATTTGCATCAAATCAAAACGTAGAAAACGCAGTCAATTCATATAAATTGGAATTATATCTGAGTATTATTATTGCGCAATGGGTGGATCACAATTTGATGTACCAATAGAATTGATATATCAAATTGCTTTATACCAATACTTTAAAAGCCTTGGTATATATATATATATATATATATATATATATATATATATATATATATATATATATATATATATATATATATATATATATATATATATATATGAATGTTATAGTTCCTGTACCTATTTTCCTTAACACTGTGCGAGTGAAACTCAACCGTTTGTGCTTGAAAAAGCGACACGTGCCTTAAATAATACATACTACAAAATCCTAACTCCACTTGCATATTGCGTTGCAATCCATTAAAACTTTCGAATAATGGAAAACACTGTATACACCAGTCACACCAGCTTAAAAAATCGTTATTACCTATATATGAGACGTATAAATTACAAAATCCATTCGGTAATAAACTTCAGCAACTAAAACCACCACTGACTGCCGCACTACAAATGCCACGAGAATATCAATGAGGATGGTAGATGGCACTGATGATAAAGTCTACTGTTATTATTAACAATGATAAAGAAGATCACTGTATCCAATATACAAGACGAGTCCAACTGCAAAGTGCGCACACTAAAATCTGCTATCTGGGTCTGTGCAATTTGTTAGGAGCAATCAGTAGAAGAAACAACATATACACTGATATGCAGGCACATTATACGACGGAAGATCAGTATCGTTGTTGTTTTCAGTTTGACTGGGCTTATAAGCATATGCATACGGTATTGTTTCCTTAATATATTCACCATGACATTGCTCTTGGTCTTTGAAGAGAGATGAAAGGAGTACCAAATGGTCCTAATAAAATATTTTTTGGATGAATTCGGATATGATTCAAATATTCTTCATATTAATAAAGCTCTCAATTCCATTCTATTCATTAAATACTTCGATATTCATTGCACACGCACTAAGCACAGCCACATAAAACACTGAACTCTTTCACCGCCATTAATCAGGAGCCTTAAGTAAATATTATGAAGATTCCGACTCAGAATCAAAATTAATGAAGATGTTATTTTCTCTATTTATCTGTACGACCATATACCTTCATTTCGTGCTGAAGGCGGATCATACGCAAAGAAAAGGTGCAGAAATTCGATTGCCTGTTTAGCTAAATGTTACATATGTTGTGAGAATTGTGAACGTTCAACACTATGACATTCTAATGGATTTGTGAATCAGGGTTTAAATTTCATATAATTTAGCAGATTCGCCATTGTTTCCTCGTAAACAACTTAAACGTTGTATAATTTATATTTCTTATTGTTTGTTCTTTCTTTTTTTTTTTACAATGGGCTGCCAATTCGCTTGGCAAATTCAGCTACCAATTTTCCTATTCGAATATTCGCCATAAATATTCTGATTCTAAACTTCTGTATTCGTTTATGCTTGACCTTTTATGAACTTGAAATCCATAGGTTAATTTCTTACCCTAAAGGCAATTCATCCAGAGAGTTGGGCCAAAGAAAGTAAATTAAAACAAATATAATTTTGCAAAACAAATTTTGTCATGAATCCCGATGACCTTTGACTTTTTGAGCCCATATGAATAAGACTCTTGACGTAAATGCAATTTATCTACAAACGTTGGGTCACGTACATGGACTAATTTTCTTCTTTCACTTAATTTTAACCTTCGGACTCCCAAATCAACAAGCTTCTTTCTTACCAAATGTTCAAGCCATGTACAAACTTCTGTTAAAGGTTCATGGTTGAGAACTGAAAACTGTGCAGAAACAATTTCTCATCTTTAATTTACCTTGACCCTAGCCTATTATATTATTATGACTAAAAGCGTCTTCCTGACCCCAAGTGCAAGCCAGCCACAAAGTACGTACAAAAAAATATAGATGATGACAACGATTTCAAAGATAATATACAATGACGACAATCACTACTACTACTACTACTACTACTACCATTACTACTACTACTGTTGCTACAACTACTACCACTACTACTACTACCACTACTACTACTACTATTGCAAGATAATTATAATGGTTTAGACAGAATCAGATAGGTTGAGAGCATTCAAAAAAAATTACAGAAAACTAGGTTTCAATTTATCTGGGCTTCTCAGAATATTTTCAACAAATGCGTCTATATATAAAGGTAAGACTTCATGCTCAATTTATGCAGTCACAGGAATCATCAACTCGACAAAAGCTAAAGCATATTGAAGTTTTAATACGGAATTACAATTAAAACATTTGTTAAAAAGAAATATAACAAACATAAAGCAAATATAATACAATTTTGAACATATAACTTACCTATAGATAAGCGAAGATTGGGAAAATTGCCTATGTATGACAGATTGTGTACGCTTTGTACGCAAAGCTGTATGAGTAATGAATTTCACTGTCTCCTTGAATGAAGCTATTTCAGAGATCAACTACTACTCAAACACGTCTATACGAGACAAAATTTACCAAAGTTTAAAGAATTATTGTGTTCTGAGAAACATAGTGTTTTAAGAAATCTATCTAAAATGATGGGATTCAATTCACAAGTAAGTTTTAGTTTTAAATAATCTATATTCGATGTGTGTATCGTTCTGTTTTTGTTTGTTTATTTAAAGAAATGAAAAGTAACATTGGTTATTCATTGTAAGTAATGTTTTTACTACTGGAGATTTATTTGCGTTCGGTGTTTATTAATTTATAATCTGTCTTCCGAAATATATCAATATCTATGTGATTAAGTTTAAACTAGATCTTATTCCATCCATTGAAATTATAACGTAATTTCATAATGCTGCCAATTTGAGTTAAATTGCAACTACTTTGATTTTTTAAAATATTTTTTATACCGTCCTTGGCTGATAAAGTTTATAAAAAATATTTTATTCAGATACAAATTCTTATAATAAATTACCTTTGTTATTGTTGTAGTCGACGACATTATCATCGTTATCTTTTTAAGTTGCCATGTGATTTAGAAAAAAAAGATTATTTATAACTAAAACATTAATTTCTAATACTTCGATTTCTTTTTGATAATAGGTTAAGTGCAAAGTGAGATCCTAATATTATACTTAACATGTTGCGTATTGTAACCTGAGTATAATAAAGAATTTGTCCAGTCTTGTCTTGTCAGTAATTATAACAATATCATTATAGTCACATTATTATCATCGCATCCACTATAACTATTACAACGTCGAAGAATAATATTTTCTTTCATCTACGTCATTTAAAAAATTCAACAGAAGAACGTTAATTTTACTTCCTTGTCTGTGCGTAATATGCTCACCGAAGCGTAAGTTATGTTGTCCAGACGTAAAAAAATCAGGAAATATCTCAACTTAATGCCTATATAAAGTGCTTTTAAAGCATGAATCGTCACATTTTTCTTGAACCTTGAGCTACTGTTTCTAAGTCATATTTTATAGGCATAATTTAACGTCAAGGAAGCTCTGACACGTCTAGTCTATGGAGATGGTCATATATTAAGATGACAATAGGAACATTATTAATTCAGATACAAATTCTTAAAATACTTTGCTTTTGTTATTGTTGTAGTCGACGACATTATCATCGTTATCTTCTTCATAGAAGTCATTAGTTTCAACATTAGATAATAATTATGACGATAACCAAGAATAATAATAAAGAAAAAATAAAGGAAAAAAAAGAATAATAAAGAAAAAAAACCAAAAAAAAAACCATCAACACTTATAGCAGGTAATCATCACATCAGTGTCATAAGAGAACAAACATATGGATCAAGGTCATTATCGACAGCGCATTGAATACCAGGAAATATTAATATTTAGGCTAAATTTCTGACATGTCTATAAGGGTTTAACTTGTCGTGATCATACGTTTAAATATTGTACTAGTAATCTTCAGGCATGTCTCGCACGCATATTTAGCAGCAACGAAATTCCAACAAACGGTATTTTCATGGGAGGATATTAACGTTGTTTTTATTAAACATACAGTTTTCCATAATTTGCCATGTGTTTTACTACCAATACGTGTCATAACTACGAACAACTTTCGCATACAAAGATAAATTATGACACAATTAGGTGAACTTGACTTCTACGGCGAATAATTCTTTTAAAGCAGGATGGGTGTCAAATTGTGGTGTTTTTTCGGACATTATGTTAGGAATATAAAATATATTATTATTATTATTATTATTATTATTATTATTATTATTATTATTATTATTATTATTATTATTATTATTATTATTATTTGTTAGAATATAAGGTAACAATTTCTTTTTGATAAAAGGGTAATCATGAGCGTAACAATAGTGTGAGCTTGCGCTTAACAATGTGACCTTGTGTTTAAAATATAACACCACGTATCATACATAAATCAAATGCTCGTTATGAAGAACTTCCAAGTTTTTTGTCAACCCTTTAGTATCCCTTCCCATAACAACAATTACACACTTACTACTACTGATTTTGCTGCCACTAATGTAGACAGCCCAGGTGGTCTAAGTGGTTAGAACATCCGCATTGAATGCGTGAGGTCGCGTGTTCGAACCCCGTCCATGTCATAACAAGGATTTACAAAAATGGTGCCACCAGCTGCCTCGCTTGGCGCACAGTATTAAGAGGTTAGTGTTAGGACTGGTCGGCTTGCTGTCTGGATAATGTGATCGGGTTGGCTACGTGTCTGCGGCATGATGCCTCAGTGCTTATACATCACTATAAACTGCCGCACTGCAGAAATTGTAGCGATTCGTTAAAGCTAAGTTAAAAATATATATTAAAGAAACACAAGCACACATATGCGACCACTTCTGATACTGCTGCTAAAACGTAAATTTAATGTTGCTGATTTATTTGCTGCTGTTACTACTCCGGCACTACTAGTGCTGCTAATTCTGCTACTATTAACTCTAATGCATTGCTAATACAGTCGTAACAGGTTCTATTGTTGCCACTATTACCGTCGCCACAACTACTACTGTAACTCTTCCTCGATACTGTATATCTACTCTGCCGCTACTGTTGATACTACCATTTCTGCTGCAGCTTATGATATTGCTACTGCTGCTGTTCTAATTACGACAGTTTAATTTTGTCAGTACCAATTGCTACTACCGTTCTGGGGAAATTTAGTTTACTTAAGGTATACTTTTCTATGTACTGTTGTTAGAAGCAGAAACAAACCACATTTTCCTTAAAGCCTTGATCAGAAGCTTGACTGAACTTTAAGTCAGAAATTATTTTCTAGTATGTTTTTACCAACAATTAATTTTATATGTATCTCACATATATTGTAGAATTGTAATAAATCTTATCCTATTCTGCTGTCGCTCACTTACAAAACATTCCTTTATTGTTTTTCATGTGTTTGATTGTCAGATGAATAGCTAGAAAGGCCAGTAAAATGGCATTGTCTTAGCAATGTCATTATAACAATCATTTATCATTTTCGCAGTAAGTATGCATAAAGTGAGCCAATCCCTCTCATATTATTCAAGTAAAGTTTACGAAGAAAATGTACTTCTGACATCTTCCATCTACTGAAACTATTCCTCAATATCATCAAATCAATTTAACATTTATGTTTGCATAGTACGAAGGAGATAAAAAATATCAAACACACAATACACATACACGCGCACACACGTACACGTATAAACAGCGTATTTCCGTATTTTATGCTGACAATTTAGAAAAAAAAACGAATAGACATATTTGATGCGTTCAAACTGCGCTAAAATATTAAATTTAAGCATGTAGTCCAAATATGAAGCATATAGTCCCAATATGTAAGCGTTAGTGTTTATAAGCAGTCTGATTAAAATCAGATCTACGTTGTTATACATTATTCAAGTAGGACAGAGAAGATCTGATTTTATTCAGATTGTGCTCGTACTGTAAGCATATTCCATGATGTATGATGGTCGCAATTGATTCATAAAAAGTATACTATTGATAAAAGCTCTGGAAGAACCGCGCAAGTCTGCAACTAGTGATATGACATTGTGAGAATCTCTCTCTCTCTCTCTCTCTCTCTCTCTCTCTCTCTCTCTCTCTCTCTCTCTCTCTCTCTCTCTCTCTCTCTCTCTCTCTCTGTCTCATTTGAAGTATTTTATACACAAGTTGTTGAGATGAAAGCTTCCTCAGTACAGTTTTAATACAACAAACGGCCGTAGCAGAACATCCCCTACTAATTATTAAATTTTGCTGACTTGTTGAATCAAATATTAAAATGTGTAGGTTCCCATGCTCTCGAAAATCAAGGTCGTTTAAACAAGATGAATACTGCTCTTCAGTCAAAACATATCAAGATGGAAACGTCCAGTTTATGCACAAGGCAGGTGAGCAAACCTGTAAATATCATTACCAAATTAATGTTTGTTTTTTGGAGTACTTGCGTTGATGCGTAAACCACTGTTCTGATGCCGCTGTGGAAGATAAGTTACGAAAATAATCACGTATGCCATAATATGGTAAGTCTTTTGTCACAAGAAAATTTTGAAGGTACCAATGTGGCACTGCAATTTCAAAATATCTAAATTTCTTATGGTGTCGAGTTTATTTTTTATTGCTGGGTATGTTTTTTAAGTTAATAGCTAAATGTCCAGATCTACAGATATAAATGCATGTATTGATGTTTGCAAAGCATCCATCTGATTGTTTATAAGCATGTCCGTCTACTGTTAAATACTTCAGTTTTGCTGATGTTTTCAGTGTTTTGGAGAGAATAAATTTATAGGTGCTAACATAAGATTTAATCATGACATTTATTTATCTTTTTTGAGTTTACACTGTTATGTGTCTGTTCTCATCTACACACGTGGTTTCCCGCAGTGAAAGACCGACGCAAAAGAGCAGCTTGAAAGTGATTAGCATAATACAACATTATCATTTAATTAAGCCTTTTGAAATCCATAGATTTGTTTCTAGTAACTGAGAGAGTAGCGAAAACGAAGTCTTTTCAAGATAAATATCTGAAAACTGAATGAATGAATTTGAAGCAAATAAAACCATAAATTTCAAGAATTATGAGGGGGATAATACCGACGATTTCATTTATCTTCCCACCCCGGCCTTATGCTGCAGGCAAAAGATCGTCATAGTTGCCAGGTGGCTTTATCTTAAAGGAAACGAATCAGATGAATGATGCGGAATTGGATTATTAAGAAATCCGATACTCTTTTTACAGGGCCATGTAATACTGTCCATGTTATGTTTCAAACTGGCCATTATTAGTAAAAGACATTCAAGGTTTACTAAGATACGTAACTGGGACAGCCATTATAGATAGTGAAATTAATAGTCGTATAACAATATCATCTGTCCACCCAACCCACTCTCCCAGGCAGGGGTAAAAGCTGGGCAACTCAGTTTCTAGCTGCTTTGTTTCGTTTTTGCGTTTCTTTGAAGGTTACTTTTTAAAGTTTGGGAAACACACAGAACTTGCATTAAGCCTCTGTAGATCCGGGTTCAATCACTGATTCAGCACGTGCATGGGTAGATGATAGCTAGAAGCTGTAGCTTCCTTCGGTTGCTTTGGCGTCCTTCACCTCATTATAATATTAGGGGTCGGGAATACATTTATAAGAACTTGTTCGATGGAGGATAAAAAATTAGGTTTGTAAACTTTGTCGAGACATAAGTATATACATATAATATCCCATAGCGATTAAATATGCAAGTTCCTGATAGCATCGTACTTGTATTTCTCTTGCACGTTTATCAATTAGTTCGTCATGTAAAATTCTAAGCAATACTCAAGTGATGGGCCAAGACATGTTGTCATATTTTTTAAGTGTGAATAGCAATATTATATCTTTTCGGACATGGATTTTCTCGATGTAAGAATTAAGCATGCCATTTGAAATCGGCAACTTTTAGGAAGTTCCACTTTGGTTCGAAGTTTCAAAGCAGTTCTGTTCAGTCATTTGATTCTTCACAAAACCCAGCTAAAATATAAAGAATAACCAAATATATTTAATTGATATCTTTAATTTGTTTCTCAATTGCATCTGCGGTCGTGCAGCTGATTCACCGCCAAACTCGTAACTCATGGACGGCAGGTTCGATACTCGCTGGTGCCTAGCAGAATGGGTTTCTTTATTGTGTCCTTGGAAATGACTCAGCTCGCAATTGCTCGGCATGATATAACCAGTATTTTGTTTTTAAATGTGCAATGAATTACATCAAAATCAAAAAGTGGAATAGCTTCAACTCTCTCTCTCTCTCTCTCTCTCTCTCTCTCTCTCTCTCTCTCTCTCTCTCTCTCTCTCTCTCTCTCTCTGAGACTGCTTGATTAGCTAACATAAGTCATTATAGTATTACGTCTCTGGAGTTTTAAACTACATAAAGAGAAAGCAAAATCCAAATTTTGCATAATCTAAAACTTGAAGTATTTTCTAGCGTTATGTCATGTTAGAACACTCATAAGTCACAATATGAACGGCCGCAATTTCACAATAACTACATATCAGAATACAAGAGCGAAAACCCGCACTAACCACTGAAAACAGTAGAAGTCAGGGACGCACACGTTTTGTTTAAATGCGGTTTTTTTTACGCCAAAGGATTTGCAATATGCAGTCAGGATTTATTTAATATCCAATGCTTTGGATGGGAGATGGCATCATGTATATTGCAAGCATATGCATAGTTTGGGTACCTGTTTCGTATGCTCACTGCGTTGCACTCCGCTACACGGAATATACGAAACAGAGAACCAGACTAGCATAAGCAACGTTATGACGGAGTAGCTTCCCCTAATCTCGCTAGAAGCCACGCGATTTCCATGGAGTTCAATAAGATGTGGTCCAGATGTTTAACATCAATTCTTGTTGTACTAGAAAGGGATGTACAGATTAAAACGGTGTGCACTAAGAATCATTAGTTACGAAAGTGATAAAAGCAAAACATGAAAGAGTAACTGTGGATATAACTTTAATGGAAAATCGAAAAATATTTCCTCGACTGGAATTGGGCACGCCAATTGGGATTACCGGTGTGACGTCTGATTACATGATTGCAAAGACCGCAAAAGTGAATAATCGTTTCGTGACGGGGTTGAAGAATTTTAAAAAATCTGCCCTTGTTTGCCACAAGATATCTGAAGAACACATTATCACCCAAGCCATTCTTTCACAACAACGAAATCAGTCAACTTGCAGAGACAAATCCAGAGGTACTGGCGAGCTAATCAAAACGTTGTTGAGGATAATCTTAACGTGAACTGCGAAATTTGACAATAGTGACAGCACTGGCATAGCCAACAATAAACGCCTTGTCATATATGCTCAGATTATTTCTGATCACATGAAACCATCAGCAAGATTTTTTAACAAATATAGAATGATCAGATGCTTCTGGCAAAGGAATTGCCTTATTAGCTTTAGTCACATTATATAACTATTATTTAGTCACATTATATAACTACTATTTTTGTTGTGTATTTAACCAATATTATTTTTTAAAAACCTACTTTATATTGATCAGCGGTTGGAATAGGACACACTGTTTTATGCATTGATGAGAAATATATATATATATATATATATATATATATATATAT